AGAGAGGACGAACACCATATTCGCCAACAATCTCACTGAATTGTGAAATCAAGCCTATTAGGTTGTAGCACTATGAGTTTACAGTGAAACACATACGCAATCTCTTCCTTGCTCTTTCCCTCCTGCAAAGCAACGATATGTTCGTTGATTTTTGATTTTTGAATGAGAGAGTAAAGGACGTTCAGGACACTGTAGGAGCTCCACACTTGGCTCCCTTCCGCAAGTAGTTGAAGTTCTTCCTCGGTCTTGTTCTTGGCTTTAGATCTCCAGACGCAGAATGATTGGAATTGGTAGATGAACTCGTCAATGATATCCCATAACCATTGCTCGGGCAGCTCAAGAGGAACAGGTCCATCAGAGTCTATGGGCCAGAATGAGAAATGTTAGACAAGGAGTAACCTGATGAGGACTGACTGAGCAGGTAATTGAACAGCTCGCAACTGTTCTCGTATGAATGGAATCTGTCGTCGATGTCAGGTTGTAAGCGTGAATAAACATGTCGATAGTAGAGTTCTCGATATAGGATAAGGAAAATTTGGTCTGCAGGAGTGTGCTCGTCAGTGCATAATGTTCCCCCGATGAAAAGATGAATAGGAAATATACCGTCATTTACAAGAGGTGCAATAACCTCTGCCTCTGGCCATTCAGTCTTTGAGTAAAACTTTTCTGTCAATTTGTTCCATCCACTCTCGTATGCAACAGTAATCTCCGCGAGATCGTTATTCAACACAGCTTGGTGGAAATGTACGATGAACTGACGAAAATTCATAAACATGGATCAATTTGGGGATCACATGAGGAAACTCACTCGTTTCACGACATCGGGAATCTGAGAAAAAGCAGCCTGTTGAGCCATTTGTTGTTGTACAGCCAATAACGTAGCCTCGTCTATCCGAGGCTGTTGAGCTAGAAATGGTTGGCTTTTTGAGAATTGCATTGAAATGTAGAACTTGGAACCTTCATACCATCATCATACACCTGACCGTAATTTCCGATTGCAAGATCAACATCTTGAAGCTCTTCATCCAAATCTGCCTCCCAGTGTTGTCGTTGTTGAGCCATAGTGATAATTTTTGTCAGAGATCCGACTTTTGGGTTCGAAGGGAAGGGTTTGTGAAATTTCAGTGAAGGGCGTTTGCGAAGGACGATATGATAGACTGCGTCCCAGCCTTTTCCATTCTAAGAAGTCAAATCGGCGCTTCAAATGCTTTTGGTCTCAGGTCTTATCCTTTTTGGAATGCGCGCGCTTATGACTTTTCCTGTTACATGAACTTGAATCCTCGCTGAATGTCTGTATGAACCGAGTTTTCTACTCCCTTACGCCCGCTAGACGACCTCAGCATTCTATCTCGTTCCAGCTCAAAGGCCTATCATTCTCGAGAGGTATCGTCAGCTTAAGCTCCAGGGCTGACCATGATTTCCCCTTGATACTACCGGTATGTTTTGCAATTCAACTCATCCTGTGAATGATTCACTGACCACACGGCTATTTGCTAGTCATTTCAAGCTTCCAGGGAAACCAAAAGGGCTCGCTATGATCTCCACATGAGTCTGAAGGACTGCATAATGGAGCGATATGGAGAACGCTTCAACGTGGAAGATATTGGGATGTCCCAATACACACATGATCTTGAATTTGCACCTCTGGAGTTTGCGGTTGTGGTGAGTCGACATGTTCTTGTAGAAGTAGATGATATATTGACCCTTGTGCAGGATACACGGTATCCGAAGGGCATTCCTCCTGGAGAAGTCGTAGACGAAGACAGTCCCTATCATCCCCAGTACGTTTTATGATAGTATATCATATGCACAACATTATCTCGCTCAATCTCATCTATATCATTGGGGGTCTGAATGCTGAAATATCCTCTTACTAGTGTTCTTTCTGCCAATTTACGAGAAGCAGGATTTGATGCCATAAACCTCAGGAAACCGATTCAAGAAAGTCTTCTTGCAGAAGAATACTCTTGTTTTCCCGCTAAATCTTCTCGTGCATACCCCCTTCAATTAGAAGTTCATTCACCTCGACTGTTTACAATCCGAACGCCTGGTCCCACAATTACCCGACTTGTTAGTCTACTCAAGGCGTATACCACATCGTCACGCAGTCTTCGAGATTTAATAGCTTTTTGGTACATATTGATACGGTCTGCTGGGATACAAGACCTCTCTCCAACCTGTGCTGCGTTGATGGCTATCCAGAGTTGTCAGGTATCTTTTTATCGTATGATTTTCCTTGACCTGTCGTATTCATATGCTCACAGATGCATGGTGCTGCACCAAACCTACAACGATCGGCGCAAGAATATCTTTGGGATGGTGGAGATTTGACTGAGCGGCCTGACGCTGTATGGGTTCCCAAATATCAACCATTTCGCAAAGATAATTCAGAAACCCCAGGGCTTGAACTAGTGGATACCTACTTTGATGCACCGAAAACGGTGGAACAGACTAAATCAGAGAACTTGTACGAGTTACTTCGGTGAGCACAAGAATGTTTATTTATATGAATAAATTAATCAGTTTCGTTTCCCAGCACTTATGACAGCTTTTCTTATTCAACTTTGGTGGTTTCCATTCGTTCTGGAAAGCACATCAAGCGAGAATTATCATTCAGGACCATTCTTCATGACAACAAAGAAGTTACCCCACCTGTTGCTAAGCCCGATTCGTGGCGAATTAGCAAAAGCAAAAATCAACCTCAGTCTTGGCCTTTCCAACCATTGGTTGTTGAAGATCCTTTTATCCGCAGCTATGTAAGCATCATATGTTCTCTTATGTTGTTCCGCGCAGTGAATCTCAATTTTCGTACAAAGAATCATGCCGAAGGTGTATCTTTCAATAGCTGGTGTTATATCCTTCAGCATATTAATGCTCGTCAGACGATGCTCGGTAGGCAATATCCACCGAATTCGGTGTTGGGTCCTTGTATTCCTTGCATTCCTTTCTCTCGAGTGCAGTCTGATTCCGAAGTTGCCTGTATGTGCATACTATTCTTTCTACTTTTATTGAACTCAACTGTTTCACTGCAGCGAGGCTCAATTTGGAAGCTCTTGATTTTTACAATGTAAGTTGTTGAATCCTTTTGTATCGACGTGATCTAGGCCATCAAGCTAACTTTGGTTATTTTTAATAGAATAATCGTCCATTTGAGCATGAGATGGAAGCTCGAAAGATGACTATACAAGGCTTGAATGATGTCGTTCAGAGGATTTCGCCTCATCTTAGTGTGAGGACTTTTGGTAGTACCAGCTATGGTGTTGATGCACCGAAGAGCGATCTGGATGTTGTCATTCTTGTGAGTAGATTAGAGATTGTTTTGCACTCGAGTGTTGAATTTGGCTGAACTGGTCTTATCAAGGATGACGAGAGGCCGCTTGGACCAAAGCCGGATGATCCCTCCTACCCTACAGGTGCGTTTTTGAATACTACTCAGTTGTTATATTGCTGACGGGCTTTTCAGAGTATAAGATCAAGTACGAAATTATGTCAATTGCCAGATCGACACTGTTGACCTTTTCATTCTCAGGAACGTGGCTCGTCATCTGCAGCAGTCCAATTATAAAGTTGTCCAAATCAGGCCGAATGGCCAAGTTCCTATCGGCTAGTCTCTGCCTTCATTCTGACCGCTTGTAACTGAGATTTAATTTTTTTCATCGCTTTTCTAGCTAAAATCGTGGACAAGATCACTGGTATAACGTGTGATATTAACATCAACGGTCGGACTGGGATTCGGAACACAAGTATGATTGTAAGGTATACGTCACTCGCACCAGCAGTCCTTCGTCCTGTCATTTTCGCTCTGAAGCAATGGATCAAGTATGTCGATTTGAACGACACGTCCCGCTACACATTTGCAAGCTATTCGCTTGTTTTGATGACTATTGGCTATCTCCAGGTGTGTAATTAACAACATATCGCTATACGTCAATTGTTCACTGCTTGAATCTTAGACTAAGGGATATCTCCCGAACTTGCAAGATCCTAAAATTGCCCCTGCACGTTATAAGGACACTGTTTATTTCGGTCAAAAGGATCCAATTAGATGCAACGCTGCCTTCAACGATACTTTACAACGTTCCGACTTCAGTCTGCCTCCCATCGACATTGGACATACATTGATTGGGTGGCTGAAGTACGTTCTAGGGTTATAAAAATCTTCCAGCACGCGATATTAATCGAAACTTGGATAAAAAATCCAACTTCCTTTCTTCCTCTAGATATTGGGCTTACGAGTTCCCGTATGACACTCATGTCATGGATATCCGGCGGGGAGGGCAAGTTCCTAGAACAAAACCGTTTACGCGAGAAGATTGGCACGACATGCATTTTCCTCGTCCTGATTTTGTTACCGGAACTGTTCCACCAGTTAATCCTCCTGGGAGAGAAACAAAGGCAGTTCGGAAGGATCGAATTTTCAGTTATTGGACCTATAACAAGAAGAGCCATTTATTCCGAAAAGATCCATTTGATTGGACCATAGATCCTCTTGTGCTTGTCGATCCCTTCATTATCAAGAAAGTATGTAACATTCACAGCCGTTTTTAAATCGTGTTATCAACGGCGTTAACTAATGAACCCCGTGACTTCGCTGTGTAGAATTTGGCATTGAAGATGCCAGTGGACGATGTTCAAAGATTCCGTTGGGAATGCGACTATGTTTTATATAAACTACGGTTGGGTCAATCTCTTGAAGAGGCTATGGGACTTACATCTCAAGATTCTACTTCCAAAGTGCAGAATTCTGCGGAAAAATCGTCTGTCTCTTTTGATTCAGAGGATCCCTACCAATTTTAAGAAGGGAGGTGAGGATTGCATGGGGAGAGGTGATGTATTTATATTAGGATCTACGTACCATCTAGAGAACAAATTAATTGACTCTTCATTTCAATGCCATACCATCTAGTCCGACATAGTATTACAATCGTCTGATAGATCTGTACTCGTCCAAAAGTCGCGCGATCATATTTGATAAGTTCATATAACCCTCAGAAAACATGTGCCCCATGGCTGAGTTGGTTACAGCGTCCGACTGTTAAGCTCTTGTGGTTTGTTCAATCGGAAGGTCGTGAGTTCGAGCCTCACTGGGGCAGTTTGTGTTTTGCTTCTTCTTGCATATGCGTTAAATGATCCTTGGAAGGAATGTTGAAAGGAACAACATTTTAGTAAAAGGTTCATTGGCGCGAACATACACTGGAAAAGAATACGAGAAATCAATAGACTCATACTACTAATACACAGATCCCACACAAGCTAGTGTCGTCGACCTCTTCTTTGTCTAGATTCTTTTGCATGCGATATTACTGCCTCTCTGGTCAAGAAAGCACGACAAACATAACACCGAGATTTCTTTCGTCCAGATCTGCAATAATTGGGCAAGCTTATTTCACACACAGTGCAAACAAAGCGGGCTCATCCATTGCAGACTTGTACAGTAAATCCAGAGGCAGAAACCCGTGGCCTGTTCGGTCGTTTGGCTGACCGGAAATCCACATTTCGATATACTGCTGACTTGAACGTTCAAGTTCTGCAGTATTGATAAAACCTTGGCCTTTAAGATGTGCGAAAAGCTTCTCTATCGCGAGAAGGTCTTTTCCTGAGTATGTGAGGTATTCGGAGGATAATGGACGGACAAGCCATTGGCCATGATCAACTGCAAACAAAACTGAGTATGGTTACTGGAAGAGGATTGGGTACCCATGACAAACCTTTCGCTCCTTCGTCAAATTCAATGCCAAATTCCTCAAGACATCCAAACAGACCATTGAGTTTGTGAACTTGCATGTACAAGTTTCGATTCCTATCGAGATCACTCTTGATAGCGTAAGTGCCTAACCTTCGGAACTGATCTTTCACGTCCTCACCCCTCAGGGAACGAGATGAGAGATCAGCTACTTGAAGATCAAGCACTCCTCTGAGATGAACTCCATGCCCATGATAAAATTCGCTGAAGTCTTTTCGACCATCGAACATTATCTTGAGAGGCTTCGGGCTGGAAAGTAGACGGAATAGTTGTTGAAGCAATGGTTGATGCTTGATCTTTCCGGTAAAGGCGAGAATGTCGATAAGATAGCTCTTGCCCCTAGCGCGACAGCCTATAATAGATAGTATGCCTGTTTGGCTGCCTAGTTTCTGACCTTCACAATCAAGGATGATGAATGGAGCATCTCGCATCTCTGCAAGTGCCCCAACGAGGACGGCACCTTGGTCGCATAGAATATACTGATCGGTGTTCATCCTATGAAAGGGAAGAGACTTTTTCAGTTTCTCGACGAATCTGAAACCAAGGCAAATGGTTGGGAGGATGGAACAAGAATTCCTTGTAAGATGCGATGGACATTTATAGAAGTGATAAGAACCGAGAACTTCAACTTGATATCTTCGAACAAACTCAACCTAGTAAAAGATCGTTCCCAACTTGTCGACGGGGACTTCAGATAAATACAAAAGGGTCTGATCGCAACAATCATGCATGACCTTCATCAGAATTAGATACTCCAATTCGGTGCATATTGAGAATAGTACAAGACCGAAAGAGGAAAAGCAGAACAATGCTTGACAAGAGCTCACTGATGATGGTTTCCTGTTTGGTTTCTTATAATAAGTATCACGAGAAGATATCGGTTCCAAGAGGTATTCGTGTATCGGCTGCGACCTGATTCGCCACCAGAGTATGTCCTGGGGTGTCAGAAAGGTGAAAATTGCCGTATGAGAGCTGATTTGAACGTTCGAGGCGATGAGGATTTGTTCGCCGCCGATTACAACCGGCTTAACAAACAGCTTTTGAGCAAGTCGGAGAAAGTCCTACAGATATGCTGAGTAAAATGATATTTGAGAGCTTAGAGGGGGCGGTGTAAGACGGGTAGGTGAGCGTTGAAGGAAGAGATGGGAGTAGGAAGACAAGGCAGGAATAGATCTCGATCGCTGCTAAATTGGAGATTCGTATGTAATCAACATCTCCCCCGCAATCCCAAATCCAGTTCGAATTATATTTCTCCTCCTCCCACCACAATCCACCAGTCGGGCACTGTCCCTTCCAGCCCATTCGTTCGAATTTACGACCCCCCAAACTGCCTCAGGTCGTCCCCATCATGTCCTGGAAGCTTGGTTCGAAGAGTAAGCGTCCCCCCTATGCATTTACACGCGACGATGATCGCTAACCGTGTACGCGAATACACAACCAGAATCAAAAGAGAGCAAGGAGACACCAGGTGTCATCTCTCGTTCTGTGACTCCTATACCATCTCGCTCAGTTACACCAAGACCCCCCGATGCAGAGAATAATCTCAAGTCAGGTATGCTGACTATCCGCATCTTCTCCGGTGAGTTCATCATGCACGCGCTTTTATCTATCTATTCACATCTCTTTGTCATTCTTTCTTTAGGACGTGGGCTGGCCCTACCTCCAGGAGTCGCTGTACCAGAGATTGTACAGAAAGCCCTCGACAATGCACCGGCTTCCCGTAGATCCACTAGCAACAGGGAAAGCATGCAACGAAAAAGGAATTGGTGGCTTCCTTACGTCGTTCTCGAATTCGACAAGAACGAAATTCTTATCGATGCCTTAGGAGGCGATCTTTCGAAACCAGAATGGAACTATAGAGCAGATTTGTAAGATCTTAATCCTCGTTCTCTCATCTCTCTGTTTTCACTTCCAAAGCCATTCCGACTCCAACTTCGTTTGTACGTGTACTAAATACTAAAACCTATGTGCTTCTGCTTCTCAGTGATGTTTCCCGTATTTCCAATATCGCCGTATCGGCCTACCTGCGGACTGCTCAGTGTGTACATGGTCAAGATGACATGGGGAACGATATCCTGATGGCGAGGGTTGACCTGCAACCTGTGTTGGACGCTCAGGTATGTGAACCCTTTGCTCTCTATTTCATATGCTGTGAAAGCGCCATTGTGCTCATTATAACTCTACTACATTACCATTCGACATGCAGCATTCCTCAGACCAATGGTACAGTGCCACAGCAGGTTCAGGCTCATTCCACCTCAAGGTCGACTATAAACCCGCGCGTCATGAATCATTAACAATCGAGCAATTCGATTTATTGAAAGTCATTGGAAAGGGAAGTTTTGGAAAGGTCATGCAAGTGAGGAAGAAAGATACTCAGCGGATTTATGCACTCAAGACTATTCGCAAAGCCAACATTGCTTCAAGACCTGGAGAGATTACGCACATTCTTGCCGAGAGAACGGTGTTGGCACTCGTGAACAACCCGTTTATCGTGCCTTTGAAATTCTCGTTTCAAACGCCTGATAAGTTATACCTTGTCATGTCATTCGGTGCGCCACGTCGTTTGTGTTCGATCTTGGTTGGTACTTAGACGCTCTCTCTCTCTCTCTCTCTCTCTTGTTTTGCAAACAGTCAATGGTGGAGAATTGTTCTATCACTTGCAGCGGGAAGGTAAATTCGATGAATCGAGAAGTAGGTTTTACGCCGCGGAACTACTGTGTGCTTTAGAGCACTTACACGGGTTCAACGTTGTGTATCGGTGAGCCTTATTTCACTCGGCATTCCTCTTATACATGGCTAATTGTTCTTTGCCACGATTCAGTGACCTAAAACCGGAGAATATCTTGCTTGATTACACCGGTCATATCGCATTATGCGATTTCGGTCTGTGCAAGCTCAACATGTCAGAGACAGAGAAAACCCTTAGTTCGTGCTGAAGCCACCTTCGCCATTGACATGGTTTTAACTTATTTCTGTTCAGCTTTCTGTGGTACTCCAGAGTATATCGCCCCCGAACTTTTGGAAAACCAAGGTTACACGAAGACCGTCGATTGGTGGACCCTCGGTGTCCTCTTGTACGAGATGATGGTATGGCAACAGCTCAAATTCTTCACAATTGGTGGATGGATCTGACGCATGAACGTCTTGATAGACCGGACTTCCACCGTTCTACGACGAGAACGTCAACCTGATGTACCAGAGGATTCTTACAGACCCTCTTGTCTTCCCTCATGACATGCCCCATGACGCAAGGAGTGTCATGACCGGTTTACTGCAGCGTAATCCTGCTCGCCGTCTAGGAGCTGGTGGTGCCGAAGAAATTAAGAAACACCCATTCTTCGCTAAATATATCGATTGGCATAAACTCATGGCTAAAAAGATCCAACCTCCTTTCAAGCCGAGTGTCGTACGTAGCTTTCAGGTTCTTCCGTCTGCACTTCACTCACCGCGATGCATTCTGCAGGAATCTGTTTTGGATGTCGCTAACTTTGATACCGAATTCACCACTGAGCAAGCACAAGACTCTCATGTCGATGATACGCCACTATCTGAGACGGTCCAAGATCAATTCAGAGGATTCACCTATAACCCTGGCAATGAACATCTCAGTGAGAGTATCAGTTATCCATCCGTTATGGGATAAGATATCCAGGACCGTACTCCTTCTCGCCTTCATCTTGGCACACGCGATCACTGTATATCTTCCTCACCTTTTATCTCTCCAGCCCCTTTCCACTACTTCATCGTTGCTTTCAGATTACCAGCCATTCTTAACCACCTTACCCTTTTGAGTGGTGTGCAACTTCTTCTGCATAACGGTTGTTGTATCAGCTTTTCATTTCTTTTTGTGTGCTTCGCTCTTCATATTTCTATTTACTCCAGGGCCACTTCAATTCGATTCAACTTTTTTGGTTTCGTACTCTCTTTCCCCTCGTGTCCTCATTCTCTCCTGGACATTTCGTCTTCAGCACCTCCACGTTCGCTTCTGACTCTTCCTGGTCAAGATGATGATTCGCAGACCAATGGTTACGGTCATGTATACCTGAGCTTCATTCGGCATGCCTGGTTTTCTCCCTCACCTTCGTGTTCATGTTCTCAGTCTTTTCCACCTTTGTTGACCATCCCTAACTGCAGAGTCTACGCTCCCCTTTTCCCTCATATAACTACTCTGTAAAGTGATTCTCCAAATTCTACTCTGCTTTTGCCGATCATTACCCACTCTGGATCGACGTCCTCTATAACTATACACAGTATTTACCACTCCCTCTCTCCTTTTCTCGATAACTTGGACATTATTAATATATCAGAACAGAGAATTTTGTATCGTTGGTTCCCGTATTTTCTTTGGCCTCAAGCCATACGACAGAAACTAAACAGACTTTCATTCTTGAAACAGTCCATATATAGCATGTCTCAAGAAGCTCAAGTTTCGGAACCTTCCTCCTCCCTCTCTTATCGATCCTTGCAGACGATTGATTCAAACTCTTTGCGAAAGCTTGAAGGTTGGAAGTAACTTCTACCATATCAACACGCCACCATAGAATTCAACCTGTTCGTACGACCACGATGTCAGTCACAGCGGAAAGTTCAAAGTATCTTACATATCCTATTCCAAACTCGGAACTCATCAAGGTACTCAAGATGCAAAAACATCCCGAAGGAGGTCTGTAATAATGAACTTATTATGCTTCATCCAACAAGAATATTCCTTGACCTATACTGTATACCTTCAGGTTATTTCGTTGAAACGGATCGTCAAAGTGAACAGGTTCCGTCACCTTTTGCGGATGGTGCTTTGAGATCTTTGGCCACTTCTATTTATTATCTACTCACACCTGATGCCGGTGTTGGGGTGTTTCATATGAATAAATCTGCGGTGAGTCTTTGGTTTTTGTTGGTTGAAATAATTTCCATGCCTTGGATATATTTTGGCGTCGCATTCCGAACTATTGTCTGATTATATTAAAAATTATATATCTAGACTATGCATGTCTTGCACCAGGGAAGAGCTGAGTATACCCTTATTACTCCTGGTAATCCGCCTACTGTCGAGATCAAGGTAAGTTACAAAACTTTTGACGATAGCAGGGGATTTGAGATTAAACGAGAAGGCTGACTTGTAACCGGTTTCTTTTCGTTCTTTGCAGATCATGGGTCCAAACATTCACGCAGGAGAAACACTTCAACTACTCGTAGGAACTGGAGTATGGAAGAAATCTCGATTAATCCCTGAAGACCTTAAAGCAGCTCGTAAGTTCCAAACTCTCACCGCACTTCAAAAGAAATTCCTCTGACAAGATTTCATAAATCTATTCCTATTTTTCTCTATTTGTTCCATCACGGGCAGGAAAAGACAGAGCCAAAGAAGATTATACAGGATGTCTCATAACTGAAGTTGTTTTCCCTGGTTTTCATTGGGAGGATCATGATTTTTTGAACCAAACCAAGTTGAAAGAATTGTTTCATGGTGATAAGGAGTTTGAGAAGTATTTGGAGTTTGTAAAGGAAGGGTAGAATTCTAACAGAATTCGTAACGAATGGAGGGATGGTGGGGTCTTCGATATACCAGGGCTTTCAGGTCAAAATTCATGAAGAGGTCATGATTTATGACTTGGAGAGGAGCCACAAGAAAGGGGATGGAGTGAATCATGTACTCAGATTGTTAGTATATGCTTGTATATATATCATGTATGTATTGTACTACAGATGTGCACTCAGCACCGTGAACGAGCGAAATTTATACATAACCAGGAAATCGTCGTAACATTGTCGTCAGGAAGTTTAGATATGAAGCTATGTATACTTCTATGAATACTGGTACAATCAGACCGATGATACTGTACAAAGATTGCGATAAATGCATCAATCAACATTAACAAAGAAAATGCATGCATGCATGAGACAGAATGCGAGAACCTGAGATGCGAACAAAGAAAAGGGATGAGAGGAACGAATGAATGAACGAACGATAGACAATAGTCGAATGAGTTTGAAAACCAGGACCGTCAAACATTGAGGGATGATTTTGAGGAGGTTTGGGACTTTCATCCCTGGTTGATAGCACCACTCATAATCCTTTCAATCTCTAGTTGAACTCTGACTCTAGCAGCGGTTCCTTCACCACTGGTACCGCCAACGAGTTTGTCAGTGCCATAGATTCCAACTGTGACTCCATCGTACAACAAGGCTAGAAGCTTTTCCCATTGCATCCCCCAGATATGGAGTGCTTGAGATCCTCCTACATCTAGCGCAGCTACAACAGGGAATCAAGTTCAAAATGGGGACGTAAGTCGAAGGAGAACGGATGAAAAATGGGTTGAACAACGTACCATACAGAATTTGTGGTGCCACGGGACTTTGCAAAAGATTAGGCTGCGAAAGGATCCTCGAGAAATAGATCCAAAACCTCGTCGTTCGAAAAGCAGGATCCAAAGGTTTAGGAGTTTCCAAAAACAATATATGGAAATAAACTCTCATTATACCCGATACCCTAGAGATATATTCCGAAAGTGGCTCTTCTTTGCTTTTATATCCTAAAGCTTTGACTCTAGCTTCTTCAGTTAAAGTTGTTCCATCATAGTCCGTTGAGGCCACAACGTAAGGGACCGGCCATCCTCCCGTTCTTTGACATAGTTTGGTCCAGAATATGTCAGGGAATGAGTCGAGTGACCATAACAGATTTACGGTCACTTGGGCTAATGGGATTGCGCTACGTTTTTCGGCTGTTACTTCAGTTTCTGCTTGGTTTAGGATGGCTTTGGAGAGAGAACTGAGGATAGCGTAGTAAATCTCTTCTGGGTAAGGTGGACTGGGACGGCAGATTTCAACTATTTGTTGCGACTACCAGATCATAGGGGTTAGAGTGGGAAGAATAGAGACAGTGAGCTTCGGAAGATAAGACATACGACTCGGTTGATAGTTGGCGCATCGTTTGTTAGCTGACCTATCTTAGGCGTGATTTGTCTACGAGCTGCACTCCATCTGGATTTCCACTCTTTGTTACTCTTCACAATTTTCATCGGACCGACTTTGAGTTTCTTGAGGAAATATACATTTCAATATACGAGTATGGCTCGATGAACAGAAGTAAGAACTTACCTTTAAACCTTCCCTCGCCCGCTTCCAATCATCTTCCGCTGTGGTCATGCCTAGAGCCTTCCGTTCTTTCTCCTCAGCTTTAGCTTGCGCTACCCTCTCTCGTTCCATTTGTTCCTGTCTTTCTTTCTCCAGCCTTTCACGCTCCTTCTCTTTCAACCTCGCCTCAGCTTCTAACCTCAACTTCTCGGCATGTTGTTTCTTCTTCTCTTCCTCAATTCTCTTCTGCTCTTCAGCCTCTCTCTTCTTCTTTTCTTCCTCCTCTCTTTTCCTCCTCTCCTCTTCCAATCTGACTTTCAGTTTTTCTTCCTCAACTTTAATCACCGACTCAACCCTATCCCATAGAAGCTTATCTCTTCCTTTCCAAATCTCTCTCATCCTCTGCTCCTCTGTTTGTTGAGCTAACTTGAACTTTGACATCATAGCTGAAACTTCTTGCATTTGTCTGTTATGAATGGCTGCCAGACGGTTTTGTTCTTTAGAGTGAGAAGTTTGTTGAGTTTGGATAAGCTGTGAACGAGTGAGCGATTGATTATGCCGCGCAGAGACCTGTAGAATTGTGTCATTAATCACGAGAATTTGGGAAGTAGGAAAGTGGGTCTTACAAACGCGTCTTTACGTGTCTTATTCTCCCAATCTTCGTATGGATCTCTATGCTTCACTCGTAAACGTATGGATGCCGTGACATCTTCCATTAAGTACTGGTCTGGAATAGATAGAGAAGGTCGGCCTGATTTTCTACGAAACACGGTCAAATATGAACATTTCTCTGACGTCAGATACGCAGATAATAGGACGTACGATGTTTGTAAAGGGGAGGTAGGTTGAGATCGAGATTGCTGTCGCCGTTGTGGTGAAGAATAGACGAATGAGTCTGTAGAAGACGAAGCTATGGACTCTCCGTCCGAGACGTTTGAAGAATTGTCATCATCGTCGGAATAATCTTGAGGAACGCCAAACATCGACCGTTGTGTTGCCGGCCTATATAGGATAATTGAAGTTCGAGATATAACAAAAAGGATGAAGGATTATAAGAGTTGACATACCGACGCCTTTCTGGGGAGGGAGAAAGCGAACGAGGTACGCTAAACCTCATTTATGCTTATTGGCTTCAACTCAACTTGAGATGTAGGATACTGGTCAGTGATTGCGGTGAACAGTGAGCGAGAATTGGATGAAGCGAATGCGGCGAGAGTCAACAACGTTCACTACAAGCAAGCCGCAGAATGGAACATGTGTTGACATTGAATCTTAGATGTGAGATCTATGGCCACTTTGTAATATGTCATATTGTATACATTCAATATTTGGTTACCATCTGCCCCTTGGCTGAGTTGGTTACAGCGTCCGACTGTTATCATTGCGATCAAGTAATCGGAAGGTCGTGAGTTCGAGCCTCACAGGGGCAGTCTTTTTGTTTTCAGGATTATAAATTTGTTTCTAGTACATAATTCCACTTATTTTGACATCTTCAGATGCCCTAGTAATTGTTGATGTTTCACTCATTTGCTGTCTATTTGTGCCACCGGAAGCCAAATGAAACACATTAAACCCGATATCCTACACGATCCGCCACAAGCCAGAATTCCGTTCCTCCTTCTTCGCACCAACCCAACGGACCAAGATCGCAGTCAGCACACAAAAGGAGCTTCAATTTCTTTCCATTTGGAGACACTATAGCCAAATTTAAGCATTGTATTCTGTATCAGGATTTTAACAAACGTACGTTGACCACCAACTGGTTTCGAAAATCCAACATTCTCAAAAGCCATAACATTCGGTGTTATCTTCCACCATTTCGTCAAGGCAGGGGACGCAGGTAGTGGGGGAAGATGAGGATTCTGAGCTTGTTCCGCCGGAGGTTCTAATTCGAAACTTTCCCTTTCCACCAACTCTGCTACGTTGTTCTTTAAAATCACCGAACCACATCCTTGTCGAGGGCACAACAGATCGACCTTGTTGTATACCTTGCCATCCTTGTTGTCCGTTGCCAAAACTTCTGATATCCCTTCAGAAAAAGAAGCAAGTAATTTCGCCACAGGTCTTTGACGGGAAGGTGAAGTGGAATGTTGAAGAGCTTCGAGTAAACCAGGTGGAAGACTTTCTGCGATAGAAGTCAATTCTTTGCCTTTGATGTCCGTGAGCTTGATAGGTTGAGAAGGTCCCGGCTGAGGTCGAGGTTTGACTTCATGAAGAACCTTTCTCAACTCGAACCAAGGTTTCGACCCATGAATAACTGCGCTCTTCCCAACATATTCAAAACCAGCCTGAAGGTACAAGTTCACCAGTTCCTCATGACTGATTAAGAGTACTCGATCGTATTTCCACCCTTCTGTACCATCTTCAGATTTGGTAGCTTGGAGACGATCGATGTAAGCTTTCAAGAGATTCAATGCGACTCCTTGGCGCCTGTATGAGGGATGGACGCATACGGAATGAATACAGATTGACTTTGAGTCAGGGATATGTGTTGACATTGACGAATGGGTCAGAGTTTCAGAGGATGAGAGCGTGGAGCATGTATATCCTATGAGTTTTCGTTCAGATTCGCCTTCCTGTAGGAAAGCACCTAGAAAAAGATCTGGTGCTTGAGATTGACGATATCTGGCCGTGTAATTCAGTGATCTATTAACGATTAGTGATAAAGATTCATATTCATACTTAAATGATTCAAGAGTTGCTGCTTCATCAGGAGGGAATCCTAAAGAGAAGAAGTGGGCTCGTTTGGATTGTGGATGAGACGGGGAGTATAAATGGCTTACCAGCGTGTTCAATCTCGATGGCAGCGTCGAGATCACTCTCTTTAACGAGGTCATAGATAATTGGTAGTGTCATTTCTGTGTAAAATTGTCAAATTTTGTTTTTTGCAAAGTATATATTAGGATCTTGCATCTACCTTGATATGTTCAGTTGGAAGCTTGAGATAAAGAAACCGAAACCGAGATCAAACCGCCATGTGCGCCAATCGCAACCCCTCAAATTCACGGATCGAACCGAGTAAAACGATCAAAATCAAACTTCAAAAGTGTCGAGGAAAGTCGAATAAGAACGTTCATAACTGACGAGGCTGTACACTCATGGTAAAACCTCCAAGTCCTCACGTTTCTCTTTCTCTTCTGCCTTTCAGGGAGAGGTGTCAAAACTAGTAAGTCTCTGTTATAGTGGTATACGACAACCAATCCTATTGTACGGGCGCTGACAATTGACTCGTACAGACGACTTTTATGTTGAAAGCCGAAAGAGACAACAAGAACACAGACATTACATCAATTTTGGACAGGATTCTATATAGGATATCTGGGTTTTTGTCTTGAAGATACCTACTCCTTAGGAACTGATACGACAGAAGAACGAGAGTTGTCCCGATCAAGGAGTTGACTCGGACCCTAGGATTGACACAGTTACCAAGGCCAAAGTACCATCCCTGTTGTCGGCAGTGTCGTTGGTTTCCAGTCATACAGAAAGTTCTGACCTTTCGCAGAGTGTATAAATCCTTGTATCACACACTACTGGGACTTTTCATTTTGCTGCCGCCGCCCAGATTTTGCCACACTTCCATCCAGAACCTACCACACACTCGAGTCCATCACTCACTTCAACAACTCTATATCTCTTTTCACAATGGCAATTATGGGAATTTTTTTTCATCGCCATCGCTACAACGCTTCAACAAGTGCTAGTTCAAGTTATTCAACTTCTACACCCTCTTCTTCAAACCAAGCTACTAGAGATGCTGATGATCTAGCACCTTCGGACCCACCAACCTATGACGAAGCTGTTCGAACTCCTTCGGCTCCTGCCTATTCCCTTAGCCCAAGCTCAATATATTACGTGCAACCTGTACCTCCTCCTAGGCACACACCACGGGATTCCAAAGCTGATTCTACTTCAAGTGCAACTGGAAATGGTTCCCGGAGTGGATCAAGTTCGTCTGTTCATACGCCAGAAATGACATATGACCAGAGCAAGCTCGCGGAGAAAGGTTTGTCACCTTTTCTTCTTGATCCTCTCTTCTGCTTGCTGATCGTAATACTTGCTATTCTGTTGATAGCTCTGAAGCGCGAGGAAGAGATCAAAGCCATCTTAAGTGATGAAAGGACTGAACACTCTTTGAGAATCTTGGCTTCGTATGATATCGTTATCATTGTCGACGATTCCACTTCAATGCGTAAGTGTAATCGGTGGTTCGAGGTGAGTTTGTTTGCTCTCTATTACGCTGTATACCCTTCTCTGGGTACTAATATGCCTGGTTCAAATTTCCTCAGGCATGCGATGCACTTTCTGCACTAGTTGGTGTAGCAGTAACCAAATCTGAGGGTGTCGATATTCACTTCGTCAACTCTTCAGAGAAGAGGACAGTGACGGTACGTAGTTTATTCATGTACTACTTCTACATCATGTCAGAATTAATGAATATCGAATCATAGAGTGCCGCAGAAGTCGAAGACATCTTTAGAACCGTTCAACCTTGCGGTGGGACGCCTCTCGGAAGAAAAATGTCGGAACTTGTCGGTGAATATATGGACAGAATCAAGAAAGCTACAAAAAATGGGGGAAGTGCAGACGGGTTGAAGAAAGTCATTTATTTGATAATCACGGACGGTGAACCCAGTAAGCCCCGACTTATATCTAATTCTACGGGATCTTTCTGACTAATAAGTCACGTTCATGTAGCTGATGACCCATGTGAAACTATCTCAGATGTCAAGGCGTTTTTAGGTGACTACGGTTTATCGCACGCGAGTCAAGTAAGTATGTCACTTCTACCATATCTGACAATCATTTCATCTCTCTTTTTAATTTTTCTCTCTAGATGAGCTTCCAATTTGTTCAAATTGGGAATGACCCAGAAGGTACCAAATATCTCAAGGAACTCGATGGTGACGATACGATGAATGAGGCTCTCGATATCGTGGATACTGAGCCTTACGATGGTGCACCTCTTACCGCTGAGAAAATCATCAAGATTATGAAAGGGGGGATAGACAGACGGGTGGACAGAGTTGCTAGTACTACTAAACGTTTCAAATAGCATAGTAATGGCATCATGACTCCTGGATGATTTTGACGAGAGATGTTTTTGGTTATAATTTCTTTAGTGTATTTAGACTCAGAATTATATCATGATGATAGACTCTGAATATCATGAATCACATCGGCAGCATGATGGTCGCGTTTTACTTACAGGTTGGATTGACTAAGTTTGAACGTTGATTCAGTGTTTGGTAACCACGTTGTTGGACATCGGCAATTTCCGTGCGAGGCACTTCAAGTTCAAACTTGAACTGAACTTGAATATCACCAAAATCTGCCAACAACTACCACCGCTTGATAATTTCTATTGTCCAAGTATATTACTGTCATCGTGTTCAAAAATACTATTGCCATAGCTTTCGAACACTCGGATTCCTTCATAAGGATCATGCAGACTCGGAAATATTTAGAACGACAGCCTGAGGCGATTCACAGTCATCCAGGAAACGCCATCGGATAATTTATTGTATGTGTACAAGGGCGCAGGCTGTGGAAAAATTAGACTGTCTAGTCAACACCGCATGTTCGTTCCGGAAAGCTACTGTAGGCTTTTTCTCTATTTGTGCGTGCTTCCTTCATTATTATCATTCTATCTCGTTGATGTTTTATTGTTTTGTAGGCATGTTTCCGTTGTCCGGTGAGATCTCTTCCTCTCCCATGATAATATACAATAATGACCTGATAACTGACAACTCTTGGTCTGTCGTAAGAATGATCGAACTAAACTTGAAGGACAATGTGTCTCAGTCGAACTTGGACGCGTCCGCGATGGACAGCAATGTACAGCAATAACACGTGATCGAGTATTTCTCCATCTCTTCATCCGAAGGTGCGACTATACTAGAGATCATAAGCGATACAAATGTGGTCACAGCAACCGTCAAATACACACAAGACAAAGCACTTGAAAATGGTTTCACAAGGACTGTTCTCGAAATTTGTCTTCCAAATGAGACAATATCTCCCAACTGACAATTGGTATCTGGGTCACGATGGCCAATGCATTGCTGCATAGCCTCGTGGTATCAAGGCATCTGTATGTTTATAACTTCAAATTCTTAACTGCGAAGATTCTGAGACCCTCATTCTTACTCCCTTTTTCCAGTCAGATCCCACTACCCAACAATGCTTGCTTTTCTTCTCAAACCTCATTTCTCGTCTACTTCGACCTCGAAATCTTCAAAACCAAATAGTGGCTCGAGAAACGAGGGCAGGAAATCCAGTGGCGCACAGAAAGATGCACTTTTAGGTGACGATAAAGGATCACTCTTCGCGGATAAAGGAACATTTAGTGGGAAGAGTTCTACAGACGTGCCGCCGCCACCATACGTTCCTCGGACTACAGCATCTTCTTCTTCCAGTACGCCACAAGTTG